GGTGGAGGGGAATAGACAGCTGTTTCAATGTGGTCTGGGCAAGCCCCCTTGATAAAATAATATTTGAGCAGACTTAAGGTGAGTATCAGGAGGTTGAGAATTATTTCAGAGGAAAGAGCCCTGGCAAAGCCCCTGGGGTGAGGGTGTATCAGTGTATTCCAGGAATATGAGACCAGCTTGCTGGAGGAGCCTCCAGAGTGACATAGAGTAACAGTGTTGAGCAGCGGGAAATGACCTTGCCTGGTCTCACCGTTCATTACGGGACTTTGCCTTTTACTCTGAGGAAATGAGAATTTAAGGGTTTTGTGCCAAGAAGTGATCTGATCTATGTTTTGAAAGGCTCCCTTTGGCTGCTCTTTACTAATAGACCAGAGGGGATCTGGGGTAGAATCAGAGACCACTGAGGAAGTTATTACGGTGAGCCAGAGGAGAGAGATGGTGCCCCAGGCCACCGGGGCAGAAGTGGTGAAGTCCTGAATATATTTTGAAGATAGAGGCAACAAGATTTGTAGGTGGGTTAGCTATAGGGTGTGAGAAAACTGGAGTGAAGGATGGCACAAGGTTTCTACCGAAGCAACTGCCAGGGTAGAGTTTCCATCCTGGAACAGGACAGGTTTGGGATGGGGGATCAGGAGGTCAGTTTCAGTGATGTTGAGCTCGGGATGTCCATTAGATGTCCACACAGCGATGCTGAACAGGTAGTCGGGTACCTGAATCTGGAGCTCATCAGAGAAGTGTGGCTGGGTGTAAGTTTGAAATCATCAGTCATATGAACCGCACTTAAAGCAATGGAAAGGAGATGAAATTGCAAAGGGAGCAAGTGTAATAAGGAATAGAAGTAAAGAAACAAGAATAAAACCTGGGTGTGCACAGTATGATGGCGGCTCTGGCCTCCTTCTTTTTCTTCAATGCTGGGAACCTGTTTTCTCCTCTGACCACATTGAAAGGATTTAGAGTCCGCTTTGATTTGGGGGCCATCTGTTTCTCCATGGAGTGATTGGTTTTTTTCTTCTAATTCTGTATTCAGTTGTATGCAATCTAGTATTTATCACATCTATTGAGTTTTTTACTACCTGACTCAAGTTTTTTCAGTTTTTTTATATAACTTTATATTAGCTACAGCAAACATGCCTACTAGCACAAAATCATAAATCTGTTTTCTCACACTGAATGCACACATGTAAGTGCTAGAATGTTCTTCATTTCTCTTTCAAATTACTTACTACTTTGGTCCCCAAGGTAACCTATTTGTGAATGTTGTATAAATTTTCTTTTTCAATATGCACTCATTTTGTTGGTATGTACCTGGCTTCTTTCTTCCACTCATTCATGTTGTTCCATGTAATTGTTCATTAATCCTCATGGCTTTGCCTATTCTTTGTGTGCTGTGATTTATGTGTCTATTCAACTACACGTGGAAAATTTAGATTATTTCAAATTTGGGATTGTTACAGTGTGCCTGCACATTTATTTTGGGGAAATATATGAAGACATTTATGCTGAATATATACCTAGAATTAAATTTTGGGGTCAGAGGATAAGTGAATGTTGAGCGCTAGGGTATATCTGTTTACTGAAGTTGGTAGACCAATTTACATCCCACAACAGTGTATGGGATTTACTCAACATCCTCACCACACCCGATACTGTTGGATTTTTCACTTCAATCATTCTGTGAATATGTAGTGGTATATCATACATAGCTTTAGTTTGCATTTAAGGCATGTAATAAAGAGAAGTTCCTGATTTTAATGCAGTTTGTGTTATCAAGGCTTATTCTTCATGTTTAGCACTTTGTGGATCCTGTTTTTGAAAAGTCTTTACTAAGTTAAAAGTGCAGTGAACTGATTTGAATTCTTCTGCAAATTTTAAAAATACCTATAATGATTAAGGAGAGTATTTCAGAGGCTTCCCAAGAGTACAGTTTATGCACCATGGGCCCCTTTCACCTATAAGAATATCTTCAAAACATTGGCTTCTCTCATTCCATTTTGGAAGATCTTTTGTTCCTTCCTATCGAACCCAGAAATTCTGTAAAATATATTTCTTACCCCATTTGTTTTTAATTGCCCTGTCTTCTATTTTCAGAGATAACAGAGCTCATTAGAAGTGAATTCCTCTGAATTGTCCATTCTCCACTCCTAGCTCACAAGATATACCTCGGCCACATTCACCTCTTACTACAGTGGAAGACATTTTAGTCCTCTGTTTCTCTGACTTTGTTGGGCACCTTCCCTTTCCTCCTTCAGAAACATTGTTCTTTGATTTAATCGTTTCCTGTGTCTTCCTGGCTCTCTTCCTACTTAGTACATCAGACCATAGTATTTTCCTCCCTTAAAAAACAAAATGTTTGCTCTCTAACTGCTCTTTGTTACCCATCTCTTATCTTTCCCTAAAAAGCAAATGTATTACACATGTAAATAAAATTTCATAGAATTAAATAGACCCTTTTTAGATTTCACTATGTAAGACTGGTGAAATCTAACTAGGGTAGGATGGATTGTTTGAAGTTCAGTTTCTTCGTTGTGATATTTAACTATAGTTATGCAAGTTGTTGCCATGGCGGGGATTGGGTGGAAGTTATATGGGAATTTCCTGTAGTATTTCTAAAATTTATCTATAATAATAATAGTAATAATAATAATAATATTGATTAATATGTGCTAGGTATTATTCTAAGTACCTTCGTGTGGGTACTATTTTTTTTTTCATTTTATAAGAAACAAAACATAGACATAGGGAGATTAAGTTACTTACCCAGGGTCACCCAGCTACTAAGTAGCAGAACTAGCATTCAGATCCAGGTAGCTTTACTGCAAAGGTGGCCCTCTTAACCCCACTCTGCTATGCTCCTCATACCTCTATCTTCATATCCTGCATCCTAGCCCCACTCTTAATGCCTTTGTAATCCATCTCAATCACTCCCTTGAAATGGCTTCTGTCTGGATCAGCATCAAGATGACAAATATAATGGCCCTATTATTCCAGAGCCTTTCATGGACTTTGTACATTGAGAAGTATTTACTGAGCACATATAACGTCAGGCTGTGTTTCATAGGAGTGAACAAGACAGGCAAAACTGCTGTGGCTGACGAATACATGACTTGACTTGTTACAATTAGAGGGTCAGAAATCTTCAGTTCTTTTCAACTTAATCACAGTTGACTTGTTTGTGGCCAGTCTCTTGTCCCATACCTTTGTTTTTTTGTAGCTAAAACAGATCTTATTATTTTGGGGCTTCACGATGCAAGAAAATATTGTAATTAGTTACCTACCATATTTTCTTTTTCCTCAAGTAAAAATCTGAACCTTTCCAGGAAATTGTCTTGAATAGGAAGAGAACTAAATTCTGAAGTACTTCTTTTCTTGTGCAATTATTGAAGCTGGATTATGAAAAATCAATCACCTTTGACCTACTTTTTCTGCATGAGAATAATTTGAATTAACTTGATGCTCTCTATTTTGGAAACACTAGGAAGATCTCTGAAAAACATTAAGTAAGTTTCATTCCATATGTCCAAATAAAAAGCTTATCCAAGGAAAATACTTGAGTTCATGGAGACATTGATAGTTTTTTTTTTTTTTTTCCGTATCACCAAAGCTAAGCATGTGAACCAGAGATGAAGGGAAGGAGTCATCTTGTCTCTTTCCACATGTCCATGGTTATTTTCTGTGTTTTCATTCCTTTCCCCAACCCAGTAAAGAGGGGGAAAAAATTATCTTACATTTTTTCATGCCTAAAAACAGCCTTGTATTACTTCTACCAAGAGTGCCTTTTGCTTGATGGACTAGAGGCTACTCTAATCCCCTTGCTTACATCCCCAGTTGCTGTTTTGTCTGATAGCTGTTTGTTTATAGCAGCAGTCAGCAATTTGCTTGGAGAGTCCTGTCAAAGTCACTGGCCTCAATGAAACCCAAATGCCTCTTGGAAGAAATACAACAGGTTCAGCCCAGCAACTTGCAAAACTTTAAAAGTGATTCCTTGTCAAACACGTAGGAAACTACTCTTCCCTCCCTATAACTTGAGGGAAAAAAAATGAGAAACTATCTTACAACAGATGGTGATTCCTTGCTAGTAAAATCAGCCTGGACTGGTTCAGCCCCATTCCTTTATGTTCCTTTTGCAAAACCCACAAAGAACACATTTGGGGCTACTTTGCAGAGTTGGCAACAGTCTCTGCTTTTTAAGGAAATCATATGGACACACATACACACAAAAAAAGCCACAGTCGATGAACGGCTGGGAATCTCCAGGGCTCAAAACGGGATGCATAGGACTTAAATTCTGGGTGATCAGTTAGAATGTGGCCAGGGCCCAAGAATCATCCCAGTTTTTGCTAGCTTTGGTTACTTCATTAAATTTGATTCAAACAAAAACAAGTTGGGAAAGTTGATATTTTCCTGTTGATTAGAAAAAGAGAAGGAAGTAGAGGAAGAACTAGGAATGATAAAAATACCCTTCCAGATGATGGGATGATAAAGCAATCCCTAAAATTCAAATCACTCTAGATCTCAAGAATTCAATATTTAACTTTGGTGCCTTTTTCTGCTATGTATATATGATGTATTATAGTTCTTTTTCATATACTTTGAAGTTATTTAGAGAGGACTTGGAACGTGTGTGTGTGTGTGTGTGTGTGTGTGTGTGTGTGTGTTGTTTTAGTAAGTTTAGCTTTTGAAGGGTAAAATAGGTGGCTTTAGGACATAATGAATCCCTCTCACTGAAGATATTGAAACAGACTGGTCACCCCCTTGCTAGGGATGCTGTGGAGAACTTGAACACTTGAGTAGTGTGTGTATGAGTTGGCCTTTATAATTCCTTCCTCGCCTAAGATTCTATGCAGCATGAATCACAACTAAGCCCTCTCCACCTGTCCTTCTTTCAATAACCTTGACCTGGGGTGTCTTCAGTGGCTTATGATAATACCTGCTGTCTGTTGAGTTTGTTTCCATGCAAGGAAACACTGGCCACCTTTGTTGATGTTGTTTTCTTTCTTTAGGTGTCTGAACACACACAATTAAACTGGATCCTTACCTGCATGGTCAGGCTGCCTCGATTACAGCATTTACACCAGTGGAAGGTAAATATCAGTGATCTGCTTAAAAATCAGAAAGGAAACCATTTTCCCTTCTGGTTATGCGTGTGTTGGGCCCCGGGACCCCTGAGTTTGCTTTCCTCTGTGGAATGCAACCCCGGAAGGCTGGGACAGCCTCTTCCACCTCTCTACTTCAGGGCATTAAACAAAATGTGACTTAGGTTCACCAAGATTTCTTCTCATTTAAAAATCCTACTAACTGTTTTTGTCTGTGTTTGGATAGACTTGGTAATGATTTGAAAAGTACCATGTTATAATTAACAAATAATCACAGTTTCTGGATTACTGCTGTTGCCCACCCATCCCCACGGGAATTAACTGGCAGTAAGGAAGAAATGTTTTCACTGTGGGGAGAAGAGACAACATATTTTATTTAACATTTAAACAAGTTGAGTCCAGGCAACAGTTCAAACCCACAGAAAAAATTAAGGATATACTTTCACTAAGAAGTTTGATTGAGAAAAATAAATTGTATAATTCAAAGTACTTTACTTCCACTTATTTTTTTGCAATTGGATAACTTGAGGGTAGGTAGCCCCAGTTATGTCAACACTACTTTCAGTTTCAAGCTGGCTTTGAGCATACTTTCAGGGCCATTGGCCTCAAGTGGATCTTCAGAAGCCTTTGCATACAGGATAGAAACAGCTTTGAAGTGACAGTGCCTGAAAGCTGTGGTCTGACGTTTGTGTCTCCCCATAGCTCTTGGTGAGTCTGACCCCCACAGGAGAAGCCTTTGAGAGGTGATCAGGTCTCAGGGTAGAGCCTCAAGAATGGGATTTAGTGCTCTTAGAGAAAAGGCCCCAGGGAGACCTTTATTCCTTTCCCTCAGGCAAGGACAAGAGAAGGCACCATCACAAAGCCAGGCAGTGTGTCCTGTCTAGACACTGACTTTGCCTTAGCCTTAGCTTCTCTAATGTTCTATATTTTGATTTTAGGTTAAGATTATCCCGTATTATCACAATACTCTACCACTAAGTTGAATGGTGAAGTCCTTTTTGTAGGAACCTAATACTAATTAGGAACTGCTCTCCCTAGGAAATAGCTTCTAAGGGTCTTGTGAGCACATTGGTTTTCCGGAGAAGCCTCTCCACTGGTCCATGATTTCTATTTATAGGAAACACGTGGATTTCAAACCCTCATCCTGGGGGTGATACTGCCTTCTATGGGCCTTCATTCTCTAGTGAATTACAGCAATGCCTTCTGCAAGTCTTCTTCTGTCATGCTAGGTGCTGAAGATAGTGTAGTCAACAAGACAAACAGAGTAGCCCTGAAGGAGGCTTGTAGTCTATTTAGAGAAAGACATTATACAAGTCACAACATGTGAAAAGTGCTCTGAGGGCAGGATATTAGGGCCCTGGGTATAGCACCCAGCTTGATTTTGATGGGAGAGTGGGCATGAGGTTAAGGTTATTTGGAGGATTAATGAGTAACAAATGGCAAGGCAGATGTAACAGGTGCTCTATAAGCAATGTTCTTCATGTCTCCTTGCTTACTTTGTAATTCTAGGTCCAGTATGCGAATATTAAAAAGACTATAAATCTAATGCTTTGCTAACTTTTAAAAATTGAATTATTTTCCCATTTGCTCATTTCCAAATTAAATGTTCATGATTTTATCCAGTGATAATTGTTAACCAACCCTTATCAGATAAATTGTAGTAAGAGAATGTTAACTCATGTTAATTTGTGGAAATTTAATTTCATGATCATTTCTTTTCTTATCTGTGAAATCTGGAATTTATCTGATTTGGAAACCTAGAAAATGCCTTAGTATGTACTTTAGTGAATTGAGTAAAAAGTAGTAGCGGTGTGGGATCCTTCCTTCGGGCAAGGGGCTGTGGGATAGCTCAGTGTTACAATACGTGCTTAGCATGAGGGTACCTGGTTTCAATCCCAGGACCAGAAACACATGAATAAATCAAATAAAGGGACATTAGTAAAATTGATTCACCTTGAGCCAAGCATGGTGGCGCATACCTGTAATCCCAGCAGCTTGGAGAGTGAGACAGGAGGATCATGAGTTCAAAGTTCAGCAGCATAGTGAGACCCTGAGCAACTCAGCAAGACCCTGTCTGTAAATAAAATATAAGAAAGGGCTAGGGACATGGCTCAGTGGTTAAGCACCCCCTGGGTTCAATCCCCGGTACCAGAAAAAAAAAAAAAATGAAGAAAAATTGATTCACCTTATTCCTGCCCAGGCATGGAGCATGAAGACAAACCAGCTAAAGACGGCTAGAGTTGCTAAAAGGAATTGAGATATAATGTTATTACAGGTGGCTTCAGATCACACTTTGCTTACTTTAAAAATTTCTTAATTGAGCAATATAATTAAATTCAAATCAGATTTCTTTCCCTCCTCTTTTCATCCCCCACAGGCAAAGACTGCCAAGCAGAAGCACGACGGGACTGTGGGCCTGCTCACATACCCAGTACTCCAAGCAGCTGACGTTCTCTCCTACAAGTAAGGAGAGAGGCCACCCCTGTTCTCACACATCGCCATGATAAAAAAGTGTTTTAACCCATCTGACAAAGGCTTGGTTCGTGGAGAAGGGGCATGCAGAAAGAGTTAGACACGTGAATAAGTTTATATTATTCTCTAATAACAGATACTAAAATATGGAAATATGCTTCAATGAGAAACTAACAATACTAAGCACTAACACTTAGTTAGCACTTACTGTATATTGGGAGCTTTTATAAATGCTTTATGTATACTCATCCTGACAAGAACCTTGTAAAATTTGCACTATTATTTTCCATGTCTCACTGATGAGGCAACTGAGTGGTTGGTAGCATGCTGAGACAGGATTTGAGTGCCAAAAGTTCGGGTCTGTGCCTCTTAACCTCGGGGCCATATATATTTCCTCACGAACAAACTTCAAGCTTTAAATGTTGATATATTTTTAAGTAATCAACACTGACCAATAGGACTTGCTGTGACCCTGGGAATGTTCTACACCTGCACTTTCTGAATCCAGAAACACCAGCCACATGTAGCTATTGAGCCCTTGAAATGTTGCTAGTGTGACATAGAAACTGAATTTAAAATTTTTCTTTAATTAACTTAAATAGCCACCTGTGGGTAGTGGCTACATATTTAACCTGAAGGTTGAGAGCAAAATATTTTGAACATGATGTGTGATACACCCTCACTTTTCGTGGACCTATAATCCATCCAGTTGACTACTACTGCCATTTATAGGCCTCAAAAATACACAACAAAGAATGCTCCTCTCTGTGCTCTCTGTTGTACTGGCCAGGACTTGAGATCTCATTTCTCCCCCAGCTCTTCCCTGCTTTCTCTCCATTAGCCTCTCTTGGCCGGCCCCCACCCCTTTGACTTTCTAGAAGCAAAGCCTCCCAGGCAAGTGCACTCCTGGCCTTTGCCTTGTTGCTGGGAAAGCATCAGGGACTGTTGTCTCATCCCTTTCCCCCTAAAGCCATGATTGTCCCCTAGGAGAACTAGAATTCTTTTGCCTGTGAACCTGATGATAGCATACAGATGACAGTATCCTCCTCGCTGAAGGGCTTCAAAGCCCTTGGACAATTATGATGGAAACAGCCCAAAGAATAGTTGCCTAACTCCACAAACAGGCAATGTCCATGAGAGCAAGCAACCTGTCTTTAATTATGATCAAAACTTGCACATGGGATTATGTGTCTGCTTGTTGTATCAACTTAAATGCTAGACTCTTAATATGTTGGGAAGCCAATGATATTTTATTATTTTTTTTTAAAGAGAGAGAGGGAGAGAGAGAGAGAATTTTTTTTTAATATTTATTTTTTAGTTTTTTGGCGGACATAACATCTTTGTATGTGGTGCTGAGGATCGAACCCGGGCCGCACGCATGCCAGGCGAGCGCACTACCGCTTGAGCCACATCCCCAGCCCCAAGCCAATGATATTTTAAAGGAAGCAGAATGAAGTCTACTTATATGGTCATAAAATATACTGGAGGGCTGGGGCTGTAGCTCAGTGACAGAGCACTTGCCTAGCATGCATCAAAATAAATACATAAATGATTTTTTTAATTAATATAAAATATACTGGAATATACATTATGTGAATGTGGGCTCTTTCAAAAATATCTTGCTGTATTTCACTCACCCTTCCTGTGACAGTGTGGGATGACACAGTGCCTACATGATGAGATGGAAGTAAACAGTAAGCACTAAGCACTTGCACACCATGGCTGTCAGTTTTGCAACTTGAGATTTGACAGCAAAATTAACACATTTTTTTTTTCCTTCTACATGATTTCTCAGAGGATTCACTGGTCCTATAAATCTTAGGAACCTTGCATATGATTTCTTTTCCTTTCCTTTAGCTGAAAACTCTCCCACATTTTCATTTAGAGGAAGCACTTTGCAGCTTCTCTTAGACATGTGTGAATTGCCAGCATCACTGAACTTGTGTCAGGGGCCATTATTAAGTAAGATATGAGTTACTTGGGCACAAGCCCCCAACACTGCAGCTGTCGTCTGGTGACCATGGTAGCTACCAGGTGATTCATGGGCTGGTTGCATATACAACATGGATATGCTGGATCAAAGGATGATTCACATCCCAAGCAGGATGAATGGGGGCAGGAAATGGTGAGAGATTTTTATCATTCTGCTTAGAATGTCATGCCCATTAGAACTTATGAATCGATTATTTCTGGAATTTTTGGAATATTTTTGGACCACAGTTAACCCCAGCTAACTACAACTGCAGAAATTAAAAGTTTGGGTAAGGGGGAAATACTGTATGTTTTTCTCAATTTCCCAAAATACAATTGGAAGAATCGTAAAATACTCCAGTTCTCTTATCCATAAGTGGACTCTTGGATATACCTGTGGGGGTTATTGAGCAAATTATGTACGAATTGATATCACCTGGTATTTTAAGATATAAGAGGAACTTCTAAAAAAGACTGACATTGGCAAAAATAGCCTCTTAAGATCTCAAAACTTGTTTTATGTGCTGTCCTTTTTAAAGCCAGGCTTGAGGCTGTGAATGCCCTTTTATCTCATACAAAACTATAAGTATTTCAGACATGGAAGGTAAACCTTGAAAGTCTCTGATGACTTCTTGTCTGTCTTACTTTCTACAACATCAGCAGGATTCTCACATAAAAATACTTGACCCCAAGGATAGGCATTTATTTTTCAGCCTATTATCCCCGAGCCTGCTCTCTGTAGCAAAGAAATTCCCATATGATACATATTCCTCCTTTAACGTTTGCTGGTCTATTTGGTGGTTAGAACTTGTCTTAAGGAAAGCATGAGGTGCCTCTCTCTTGACTACCTTCTAAAAGGAGGATAATAGTGGAGGGATTCTTATCTATCCTCATCAGCATTCTGGCATTTTAGTTACAGATTGTTCAAATAGATAGAGATGTTTTTCTGTACAACTAGATAATTATCTGTGTTCAAGATGAGTGCCTACTACCTTAGCCTTCCAGCTATCTGCCAGATCTGGTGCCATAATAGACATGGGCAGACATCTGCCTCCTCTTATTCTTAGGAAGAACAGCCCAACATTTGCCTCCCGTCTGGTTTCAGGTTAGACAACCTGCACTCGTGGGGGTATTGTTTATTTGTTTTTGTTTTATTTCAGATATTTCTGGATTTTGGAAAAGGTCATAGCCAGAATGTCTATGAATATTTACATTATAAATATAGACAGGTAGCTTGGTAGGTTTGAAGGATGGTTAAAACATTTATTTTGTTTTGTTTTGTTTTCTGCCAGTAAATCTATGTGGCCTCTTCATAAAACGTTGCTATAAGTTAAATACAGACTTAATGTTTGTTCTTGTTAAAATCAGCGTTAGGTACTGTGGGCTGGAGGAAAAACACAAGAGAAAGAAAAATCTTCCAGATAGGTTAATAAAAGACCTACATAATGTTTTGGTGGAACTTGGTAAGGAACCCAAGAATAGAGACCTGAGATTGTCTTTAATTTGAAAGCATAATAAATAGCAGCCATTTGAAGGAAGATAAAATATTCAAAAATAGCAAGTATTCATAATTTTTATTTTGTACCCTGCATTATTTATCTGAATGCCTAATTTCAATAGACTGGCTCTATGATAAGTATATATTTCTTTCTCTCTTTCTCTTCATATGTGTGTCTTTCCCTCTCAGATACACACATGTAGTTTTTATTCAAATTCAGCAACTATTTGGTAAGTCACTAATTCAAAAAAAGGAACTGTACATGGCCTTGAGAGAGAGAGAAGGAAGGATTGACATGTGTCCATCATTGTTTGCCAGATATTATAATAGCTGTGACACACATTATCTATTCAGATTCTCACAGCAGCTCTGTAGGATAAATGGGTGATGGGCCATTTTACAGATAAAGAAATTAACTTTCAGGGAAGAGTTGTTATGTCTACTCACATTAGAGAACGATTGACTGTCTAATAGGTTATCTTTCTCAACAATTTGAACTGAAGCTGTGCACAGTGGTGCACGTCGGTAATTTCAGAGCCTTGGGAGGCTGAAAAGGATCCCAAGTTCAAGGCTGGCCTCAGCCACTTAGCAAGGCCCTAGGCAATTTAGCAAGATGCTGTCTCTAAATAAGTAAATAAATAAATAGGACAGGGAATATAGTTCAGTGGTAAAGTGCCCCTGAGTTCAATCCCAATACAAAAAAAATAAACTGAGAAACATGAGAGGAGGATAAGAAGATAGTGAAAGCAAAAGCTGATATGAGGGAACAGTAACCTTAAGAAATGGAGTGGGCTGGGTTGTAGCTGAGTGGTAGAGCCTTTGCCTAGCATTCTTTTTTTTTTTTTTTTCTTTCTTTGTAGTTATAGATGGACAGCATGCCTTTATTTTATTTGTTTATTTTTATGTGGTGCTGAGGATTGAACCCAGGGCCTCACATGTGTAAGACAAGAGCTCTGCCACTGAGCTACAGCCCCAGCCCCTTGCCTAGCATTCTTGAAGCCCTGGGTTCAATCCCCAGCACAGGAAGAAGAAAAAGAACTGAGTAAGAAGAAACCAAGCCATTAGCCATCTTTCTATCATGTGACAAAAGACCTGAGGTAAGTCGACTTAAAGGAGGAAAGGTATATTATAGTTTCAGAGGTTTCAGTACATGGTCCCTTGACTGTCACTTTGAACCTGTGATGAGGCACAACATCATGGTGGGAAGTATGTGGTGAGGCCAAGCTGCTCACCCTATGGCAGCTAGAAAGCAAAACAGACTCAGGAAGGAGCCAGTGCCCCTCTATTCCTTTCAAGGGCATCCTCCAGTGAGTTCACTTCCTTCCACTAAGTTTCACCTCCTAAAGGTTCCACCACCTCCCAGTGGGGAAGTGGACTTATGAAATCAACACAAACCAAACCAAAACCAAAAAGTAGGGAGAGTAAAGTGGACAATACTTCAGTAAGTCGAGTCAGAGAAAAGTTTTCATAATGTATGAGGATCAGACTTCTGCCCTTGATAACCTTTTTGAGAGCTCGTCTTAAAAGTTGAGAGTTCCTAAAACTGCTTTGAGGACTTCCAGTTCTTAAACTACTTCCTTTCTCTGTGAGACCAGGCTATCCTGGATTTTTATGAGATCCTGCAAGCAGCTGCCTGGGCCTCATTTCTGCAGACTGCTAATACCCACATATTCATCCACAACTCTCTGAACAATCATTTCTTCTCTTTCTCTTTCTTCTTTCTAGCCATCAGGCAAGTGCTACACTAAACCAAAACCCTAGGAAGGCAATCTGAAATAGGTTCTAGGCTGCTAGCCCTTAAAAAGAGGGAGACAGCATAGAAGGAAGAGAGCTGAGCTAAGATGTCAGCTCATCAAACATAGTGGGAAGCTTTTTGTACATTTTAAAGACAGAATAAATTTCATATAATTTATACTTAAATAAACTGATTAAAATACAGAAAATGAGTTACAGATGCACAGCGAGGATGAACTTTTCAGAGGCTATTTCACTGGTCTAATTTGGACCATGATGAAGAGGAAGGAGAAGCAGCCAAATGTAAGATTTTTTGGTTTGGGGGTGTGGCACTAGGATTGAACTCTGAAGCACTTTACCACGGAGCTACATCTCCAGCCATTTTTACTTTTTTTTTTTTTTTTCCCCGAAACAGGGTCTCACTAAGTTGCTGGGGCTAGCCTTGAACTTGTCATCCTCCTGCATTAGCCTCCCAATTTTCTGGGATTGCAGGTGTGCACCATGGTGCCTCACCAAATGTAGGAGATTTTTCAGGAGGTCAGAATGAAAGGGCTTCCCATTGGACTGGATGTGCAGGAGTGTGGGCTGTCAGGGATGACCGCACATTTCTTGAGTAACTAGATTGATGGTGTTGCAATGAGAATACTGAAAGAGGACTAACTGGAAGAATGTATAGCTTTATTCAATATCTATCCTCCTGGAGATGGTAACCACTTTATTATATCTCTCACAGTACCCAGCACTGGACCTTTCACATTGTGGGTCTTCTAAATAATTGATGAATTAGAGTTATTATAGCACATCCAACAATTGCCCAGTGATGGGGGATCAATCCTTCATGATAGAAAAGACAACACCAAACCCCTGTCCCGTCAGGCTGGGTAAAAGCAGCAGCATTGAAAATCCACAAACACAAGCCAAGAAAGTAGGAGGGGGGTGGGGGTGGGGGGACAAGAGAACAAATCTCTGCAAGCAGATATATGTAAGCAATGATTATTCATCTGGACACTAATTCTGCCAGAGGGGTGGGGTGGATCCCAAGTAAATGAAGATGCAATAAGGAACTAAGCAAAAGAAAAATGGTTTAGTCACCAAAGAAGAAGATCAGACGCATTATTATGTGACAGAAGTTATAACAATCAAAATGATGAAAGACTTTTGTTTTATGTTGTGTCTAAGAAAGCACAGTCAGGGTAAGGGGGAAAAAAAGAAACTGGAGAAAAAGAAAAAGAGTAGGCACATTAATATGGATATCATTAAGTTGGGTATAAATTTTAAAAGAACAGCACTAAATTATTTGAAGTGAAAGGAAGAGTATGAGGAGAGAGGTTAAAAACGTGAAAAGAATAAGCCCCATAAGTGAGTAGAATCAAAGACAGGCTGAATTAAGGTGAAGTGTGAACTCAATGGATAAGAAGTAAAGGCCAAGATAAATTATAGGAGGTGAAAGGAAAAGCAGGAGCAGGAGGAGGAGAGACCAGAAACAAACAAAGTCAGATGCAAAAGCCACGTGGCGCAATGGGACCAGGTGAAAAAAATTAAAATTTTTTTATTCCTTTAAAAAAAAAAATCAAAACCTCACCAAATTGTAAGAAAAGAGGCAGGGATCTGACATAAGGCAAGACGCACACAGCGTCATTATGAAAACTAAATGTGTTTTCTGTTTAGTTTGGTTGCTTGGTGAATCTGGAACCATTTTGGCATGTGGAAATATTCATTCTGATGTGCTTAAAGTGTATTGATTATGGTAATTGTTTTTTCTGTGTTAGTTGCAGTCCATTCTGATTTCCTATGGGCTACTGTAATTGCTTTTTAACCTGCTCTGTTGGCTAATTTGGTTTGGGGGAATCAAAGTGACCTCTGCACGTCAGCCTCACTCTAATTACCAGACAGGAGCAACAAGGTCCAAAGAAGGGAAATTCTCAAAGGTGAGGCATGAATGGGTTACACCCAGGGCCTACATCTTTTTTTTTTTTTTTTAAACCACTGAGCCAGTGGCTTTCTGCTCCACACTGTGTGGAAGAGAACAATGGACATGGCCCTCACAATCCTTTAGTAGAATTTCCTACATTTATTTACTAACTTAAGAACAGAAAGCACTTCCTGATTCATCTTCTTTGTCCCTGGAGTTTACCTTTCCATTCATTGCTCTGTCGCTGCTATTTTCTTTAAATTAAAAGAGTTCTCAGAATTATATTAGCATACTGTCTGTATTTGGGGACCACCTGATAGGTGAAGTGTCCGTTTCAGGTATGTTTTCTACCCGTATCAGGATTGCCACCCAGGTCTCTGACCATCTCTGGGACTATGTGTTTGTGGTATATGAGTCAGCTACCAAAAAAGGAAATGATCTCTTTGAAAAATGTCACAGTGCACCTCACATCAAGGACCCTTCTATATATCTTCCTTGTGCCATTTTGTCCTTCATTATGTCAGCCCTTAATATGGCATACCACCAGCAAGGGTTACTGAGCCCTTAGCATCAAGCACTATGTTTGTTATCCTTGAAACCACCCAACGAGATAAGCAGCATTACAGAGACATTGAAAGCTTGGAAAGGGTAAGAAACTTGCCCATGATAACTGACTGCTTCTCCCAGGAGTAATATTGAACTTCCTTGAAAGGAACTAGCTATGTAGCTGGGCGTAGTGGTACATGCTGTAATCCCAGCAGCTCAGGAGGCTAAGACAGAAGGATCACAAGTTCAAAGCCAGCCTAAGTAATTTAGCAAGGCCCTGAGCAACTTAGCAAGACCTTGTCTCAAAATAAAAATATAAATAAATTGGCTGGGGATGTAGCTCAGTGGTTAAGCACTGCTGGGGCTCAATTTCTAGTACCCAAAAAGAAAAGAAAAGAAACTATGGCACTTTATTTATTATATTTATATTATCAAATATCAAATATAAACTTGCCAATCAAGATATGAAATACTAACATCACCTATCTCCATCCACAGTAACACTTCAGTACAGTTTTCCCCACTAGATCTTCTCTGAAATGGTTAATTCTTCTTGATGAACCTCATCATGATCTGACCCTACAAATTTTATATGTGTAATTAAAATCATTATAAATAGATTCTCCACATTCTGATATTTTTGGTTTCACATCTTTGTTTTTTAATAAAATATTATAGATAAAATTCAGGCCTCCTTTGTTCCTTTCCTCAGACCCATCTCCTTCTCTCTTTCTCTAGAAGCAGCTATGGTCATGAATTTGAGGAGACCCCTCCAGTGTGTTTTCGTACTTATCACTCCAGATCTATGCCTCTATAAGCAATTTGTAGTATTTTCCTATGTACTTTTACGATTTACGTAAATGCCAATGTGTACCCTAGGTGTTTTCAGAAATTTGCTTCCTTCATTCAGCATTGTTTTTGAGATTTGTTATGGTTTGGATATGAGTTATCTCCCCAAAGCTGCTGTGTTGATGTAAGAATGCTCAGAGGTGGGAAGATTAGATAATGAGAGCTGTAACTTAATCCAACCATGCTAGTATGAAAGGACTATCTTGGTGGTAACTGTAGGCAGGTTGGTTGTGGCTGGAGGCCAAAGGTCCCTGGGGGCGTGCCCTGGAAGGGTTCATCTACTCTGTGGTTCCTTACCCTTTCTCTGCCTCCTGCCACCATGAATGGAGCAGCTCCTCCGCCTTGCCCTTCCACCAGGATGTTGTGAAACCTCTGAAACCGTGAGCCATAAGACACTTTTTCTCCTCTAAGTTGTTCAAGTCAGGTATTTTCAGCAACAAGAAGCTGAAAAACGCAAGATCTATCTATTATTGTACCTGGAGATGTTGTTTATTTACGTTCCTTCCAGCATCTTAATTCTCCTATGATTGCAATTTACTTGAAAATGACAGTGTGTTCCAAAAAGATCTTGAATCACTCCCTGTGTGACAGGGAGGGAAAACACTTGCCTGAGAGAGAGCTTTCTGCCATATCTGATTTGAAGATGGGGAGGAGTGTCTTTCAAGTGCAAGCCACTGCTCTGAGTAAAAAGCATCTGGTCAGGCTCGGGTTATATGTGCTGACTGAGTGAGGGAATGAGGAGTGGTTTTAGAATACAATTATGTGTAACGCATATGCTATTGAAGATCCCATGCCTCCCTTCCAGCAAGACCCTGTCACACTGGTGTTGATGGCTGTATTCTTCTGCTATGGAAGAAACTGAACCAGAATAGACAAACATCTCTCCAGCATTTGTCTGATACATGGGTAAAGACTTGGGTCTCAACGTTCCCTCTGTAGTTTGTGAACATTTGTTGAACACTAACAATGAAATAGACACAGGAAATGCAGCTGCTTGCAATATCATTTCCATCTAAGAAGAAGCCTTGCTGAGTTTTTCTGTCTTTTATTAAAGGTCCACACACGTTCCTGTCGGGGAGGACCAAATCCAGCACATGGAACTAGTTCAGGATCTAGCACAAGGTTTCAACAAGAAGTATGGGGAGTTCTTTCCAGTGCCCAAATCCATCCTCAGTAAGTAACAAACACATGATTGTTAAATCCGGGCATATTCTGAAGTGAAAACTGGATAATAGATGGAGGCTGGGAACTGTCTTAGGACAAAACTTGGCTTTCTCATAGACAAACTCAGGATTTGGAACTCGAATCTTCGTTGTTTCTGTCATGTAGGACTAGCACGTCACACTAGATTATTGAAAAAGATAACTAAAATGTTTGAGAAGTATGGAAGAAACTACAAACTAAAAATGATTTTAATTTGTAAAGTACTATATAATTTACCTAATAGATATATTTAAAATAACAAACTTTATTGGGTAGAGCAGATATCTTCACCTCTTTTATGGGTAAAGAAACAAAGGTTTGGCAAGGCTCACTTTGTGTCCAAGTCACATGTCTAGTTGTGGCAGAGTTGGGTCCTATGCTGAGCATTTGTAAACTCAAAGCCTACTTACCTTGCCTTCCTGAGTACTCACAGCAAAATGAAAGTATCCCAATCTACATCAAATAAGAGGGAATCTGTAATCCTCATATTCTGTCTTCTTAAGTGAACCTCGGAGATGGAATGTACAATCCACCTGCTGGGTCTCAGAGATCAGCCTCAGCCTCCATTGCTATGCTAGTCTGGAACCTTCTTGATGCTGTAAGTCTACCAGCATTCTGATAGACTTGTAAATTTTGTGGCAGGGGCAGAGATCATGGAACCTAAGCACTGTTCATCTTTATTAAGCTGACAACATTGTAAAGGAGTATAATATGATCCTAGATTCAACTCAAAGACAGAAGTCAGGTATAAATTTCTAGGTAATTTCAAAAATTCACACAAATAAATTCAAGAAATCCCAGGCATTGAAGTCAGACTTCTTTTAACAATCAGATTTTAATGTATAATGGTGTATTAAGAATTGTAATGCAAATAAATAAATAAATAAAATTTTAATATATGACATTATTATTTTACTTTTCAATTTTATATGCTTCTGTAATAGCCATAAAATAGGCAACTATTAATAACACTGGTTTATGAAGCACAGCTTAACATCTTGATTCTATCAGAGCAATAAACAAGCCATTTCTCGTGTGTATGTGTGTGTGTGTGTGTGTGTGTGTGTAATCCTGGGTAAAGAAATAGAAGGATTACTGCAGATTGTTAAAACTGGTTGGGGGGTAGAAATGGCAATGGTTGCAGGGGGTAAATAAATGATTACTAATAGGGAAGAGCAGAGAGGAGAAGAAACAATACTTTTTTAAAAGTTGTACACAGCAAAAGCAGTATGATTGGCATAATTTCATCTGGGTAAGAGTATACATTTTAGGTGGACAGATGCATTAAAAGATGCCTGAAAGTATGGAGAAAATGTTAACAGTGTTACATAATTCAGATAATCTTTACTTTCATACTTACATAAATTGCTTGACTTTTTCACAATGAATATTTGCTATTTTTATAACCAGATAGGTAAAAAAGTCATTGGTATTCTTGATATCTTCCAGATTCCAGCAGTGAGTCTTGCTGATTTATTTGTGTTTTTGTTTTTGTTTTTTGGCATGTGTGTTGGTGTTTTGACCTAGCATCCATGAAGAAGGTAAAATCCCTCCGTGACCCTTCTTCCAAAATGTCAAAATCTGACCCTGACAAACTGGCCACCATCCGAATAACAGACAGCCCAGAGGAGATAGTGCAGAAATTCCGCAAGGCTGTGACGGACTTCACCTCAGAGGTCACCTACGACCCTGCCAGCCGAGAGGGCGTCTCCAACATGGTCTCGATTCACGCTGCAGTGACAGGGCTCACCACGGAGGAGGTGGTCCGCCGCAGCACAGGCATGGATACTGCCCGCTACAAACTGGTGGTGGCAGATGCTGTGATTGAGAAATTTGCTCCAATTAAAAATGAAATTGAAAAACTGAAGATGGACAAGGAATATTTAGAGAAAGTTTTACAAGCTGGGTCAGCAAAAGCCAAAGAATTAGCCCATCCTGTCCTCCAGGAGGTGAAGAAATTGGTGGGAATTCTATAGGAAGTTTGAACCAATCACAAAAGGTTTTTGTATCTTATAGTCTGTGCACTGCAACAAAGGCAGCTTTCTTTCAAACAAAAATAATTAATTAATATAAATTATAGTTTGGGACATTTAATTTGATATGGCTGATTATTGTCTTCATTTGATGACAATGCTTTGTAGCCCTCAAATACAGCAATGTTCCAAATCCCATCAACAAAATGTTGTGATCAGAAAAACAAAAACAGCAAATTGTAAAAGGAGGTATAGCAGTCCGAATCCCCAGCTATTTGAAGCACACTCCTTGGACTGAAATATCTGAACAAATGTGATTGAGGTGAGCAATAACTTGGGAAATGAGATGATTTGTGCTCTTGATATTTACTATAAGAAGTATTCATCCCAGCCCTTTTAAAAAGCAGCACACGAATTGCCTTAGATTTATAATCCTTCAGATGCCGTTTGATACAGTTTGTATACGAGTCTCATAAAAGTAGGTTGATTATTATTGTTCATCTTTTTAATTTTTTTTTCTTTTTCACTACAGTACTGGGCATCGAACCCCAGGCCTCCCACATGCCTCTGAGCTACACTCCCAGCTCCTGAATTAAGTTATTAATAAGTCCCCCTCTTTTTTTTTTGCATTCCTTGGAATTAGACTCATCAACCCCCTATGAAATATATAGGAAAGGAATTGCCATTTTACACATGAAGAAAATGAGGCCCAGAGAATACAATAAACTCATACAGTATTACTCAGAAAGAAGCAAATCCAAGAGTAAAACCTTTTATAAATTTTAAAATAAAAGAGTAAAACCTTTACTCTTTCTAAGATTAGTTTGTTTTTTTTTTTTTCATCTGTACTATGATCACTATTTATACCTATATACCTAGAATGTTGGGCAAATAATTTTTTTTTAATTTTACTTATAGGGGCTGGAGTGGTGGCTCAGTGGTAGAGTGCTCGCCTAGCATGCATGAGGCACTGGGTTCGATCCTCAGCACCACATAAAAACAAACTAATGTATACACCTAAAACTAAAAAGATACATAAATAAATAAATATTTTTTAAAAATTTTACTTATAGTAGAGCTGTCCTTTCAGCAGAACAGATATAAATCCACAAAATGGTATCCTAGAGCCTAAATTAAAAGAAGCTTATGGGCTGGAGTTGTAGCTCAGTAGCAGAGCACTTGCCTAGCATGTGGGAGGCCTGAGTTTGATTCTCAGTACCACATAAAAATAAGTAAGTAAAGGCTGGGGATATAGTTCAGCTCGTAGAGTGTTTGCCTCGCATGCACAAGACCCTGGCATCATACACACACACACACAAAAATGCATATAAAAAAGTATGCATTCAAAATAAATAAGTAAAATAAAGGTATTGTGTTCAACCACAACTAGAAAATAAATATTAAAAAACAACAACAAAAAACACTTTTGAGGATTCTTAGAGCTAGCCTGGCTCATGGGAAAAGAAAACATGTTACCTTTGGATCTTTTCTTGGAATGGAATATCTACAGTCCTAGATCATCTTTGGGTATATATATCTTCCAAGTCATACTTATTCTCTTTTTCCCCCTTTCAAAGGAAACCTGTTATAAATACTGGAAAATGTCAAAATAAAGATGAGTCTATCAAACTAATTGTTTATCTTGTCTGTGTGGTTTCTGCCTTCTTACAATATTTTTCTCCAAAGAAATGAAGGCCCTATGGAAAATAATCTTAGGGAAGGAAAACTAGACAACATGTGATAACGTCCAAGGAGCAACGTCTGCAGAGGTGTGATTGAACTTATGTGTATCCCGTTGTTATTCTTTGAAAATAACCCTAGTGCTTAAGTCTAGAATTAGCCCACAATGATTAAAAACCTTGGTTAATGTGTTAGGGTTCTGCAGAGAAACATAATCAGTAAGATATATGTACATGAGGGGATTAACTGCAGGAATTGGCTCACATGATTATGGAGGCTGAGAAGTCCCATAATATGATGTCTATAAGCTGGGGACTTAGGAAAACTAGTGGTGTCATTCAGTCCAGATCCACAGGCCAGAGAATCAGGGGAGGTGATGGTGTAACTTCCAGTCTGAGGTCCAACACCTGAGGATCTCATGTAAATCCCAGAGTCTGAAGTCTCAAGAACCAGGAACTCTTATGTCCCAGGACAAGAGAAGGTAGATATCTCTGCTTAAGAAAAGAGCAAATTGACTCTTCCTCCATCTTTCTGTTCTATTTGGATGGTCCCTCTATGGATTAGATGTTGTCGACCTACATTGGTGAGGGCAGATCTTTACTTAGTCTACTGATTTGAATCCCAGTCTTTTCTGCATAGTCTTTTTAATAGAGATGAAGAATCACAGGGAAATATATTATCATGATTCATTACAAAAGGGGGATTTTCATTATTATTTTCTATGTTTTATAGACAACCGAAATGGTGCAAAATATTTCAGATGGTAGTATACTGGTCAGTAGCTTATGCGCTATAGCTCCACCTACTGACAAACCTTACCACAAACCCACTGGCTCTAACTAGGTACACAGAACATTGTGGGTATTACCTTGCTCTTTGTAGGTTCTTCATAAACATCAAAATAATGAAGATGGGTTGGAAATTTCTAATAAAATGTGATATTTCTTGCTCCTAGAAACCCTCCTGACACACATCATAAAGATGGTTATCATAAAACATCTAACACTGTTGGGTTCTGGTGATGGATTAGACACAGTATTAAATGTCATATAACAGAGTATATTAGTCAGTTTTCCACCACTATAACAAATACCTGTGATAGTAAACTTATACAGAGAAAAGCCTTATTTTGGCTTACAGTTTTAGAGGTTTAGTCCATAGTTAGTTGGCTCCATTGCTTTTGTTCCTGTCTCAGGATAACACATCATATTGGGGAATACATGGTGGAGTAAAGTTGTTCACTTCATGGTAAGCTAAAGAGAAAAAAAAAACAGTAGCTGAGACCCACTGTTCTTTCCAAGATGCAGCCTTGATGACCAGAAGACCTCACAGTAGCCTCACTTCTTAAAGTTTCCTCCACCTCCAAGTAACACCATGTTGGAGACCATGCCTTTAGAGGACACTTAGGATCCAAACTATAACATAGTGTTTTTCTAAGAGAGGTCCCAGGCCAGCGACATGAGAATCATCTGAGATCTCATCAGGAATGTAAATGCTCTGGCTCCACTACAGACCTACCTGGGGTATGAACTCAGAAATTTTTTACATTAACAGCCTTCCAGGTGGTCCTGATACCTGCTAAACTTTGAGAACCACCACTTCATATGAATTCTCTCATTTAATCCTCATAGCTAATAATAATTACCAACCATCCAATCATCCATGACTGAGGTTGAAACTGAAGAGCAGGAGGTCGAGAAACTTGCCCAACATAGTTCAGCTTCTAAGAAGTAAAATCAGGCTCAAACTCAGCTTCTAAGGGGTGGACTCAGGATCTGGAGTTCACTAGGTCACAGTGGCCTCCACACAATGTCTTCTGTATGTATGGAAGTAATGCACATGGTGATGGCCTTATTTCTGGCAAAGTCCCGAGGAATTGCAGGACATCACATAGCAAAAGGCAGGGGATGGGAGGGTCTCTTCTGGATCTCTTTTTATAAAGCCACCAATATCAGTCAAGGAGGTTCTATCCTGATGACCTCATCTAATCCTAATTACCTCCCAAAGGCCTATCAATACTATCGTCCAATTAGGTTTCCACCTTCTTGATACCTCACAGTTGAGAGTAGACTTCAAGAGGTGTTTCTAAAGGGGCAAATCATAGTCAAAGCACAGCAAAATGTCACATTCAGTAGTCCTCAGATAAATAAAACAATTGATATTTGATGTCATTGTGTTGGCTCTATTGAAAGCAAACTTTATTTTTTTTAACATAACCTTCCCATTCTTATCCACATATACACATAATAAGTCAGGACTATGCTTGTCAGTTTCTAAAAGTGTTTCTGAAAAGTAGATGATGTGATTCTACTTAGAATAGTGTTCTGATTTTACAGGTTTCCTTTGTTTGAGTAATAGTTAAACTCTTCCCGGGAGTACAGCTGTGTCCCGTTTCCTATGTGTGAATGCAGAGATGAAGAAGTGCTGTGTACATGGCCCTTACCACCAGGTCTCCCCTACCAACATGTCCCACGGGGAAGCCCACTGGGAGCAACTGTCAGTTCAAATAAATGGGTTATCTAAGAGTTCCCTGAGTTTGCAAAAGCCTCCACCCAAAAGAGTGGGTTCTGTGATGATTTACACAACAACAATAACAAAATGGCATGGCTTATCCAGATTGACCCAGGAGACAACCCTTGGGAAAGAAAAATTCCCTCCATGAACTAGGCAACCAGGGAGCAAGAAATGTCTAGTTCCTCAGCAGGTATCACCGAAAAAAAAAAAAAATTCTTGCCCTAAAAGAGGAGGTGAGTACTCACGAAAATGCAGGGTGATCGAGTGGTTTTGTGATGGTTTTCTCTCCTGGGCCACTCACATAAAAATTTAACAAATAGAATTTCTGAGGTTGCCAGCTCTTCAGTGAATGATTATTATTCTTTCACTGTTTTCTTACCCTCCTTTTCTCCATGCTAATTTCTCTTTCTCGCCTGCATCCTGCACAGGCGGTGGAAATGGAGTTCCCTTCGGTGGAATGGGCTGGCTGAGAAATAAAAGCTAAGAAAAATAGAAGGACGAAAAAAACCCACAGGACACAGAAAGTAGTTTCGAGCGTGGGGGCAGGATGGGCAAGGCAAGCCGATCAGATGGATCGAGCTTCTATAGTCTGGCAAAATGGAGCCTGCACTTGCTTTATTTATATGGCGGGGTTGGGGGTGGGACATCAAAGGCAGGGATAAGGTTTCAAGGGCGGAGTCTTTGCAGTCAGCAGGCTGATTGACATCGTGGCCCATCACACCCATCTCAGGTGCTGTGTGGGATCTCTGGCTGAGCTTGAGGGGCAAGTTCACCTGCCTCAGGCAATCAGTCCTTGTAGGGGTGCCATGGGAGGTTCCCAATGCCAGACTTATCTTCTTATTAAGCTACTATGCACAACATAGTCCACACACAGCCCACAGACGGCTCGTGACATCTAAACATCTTCAAAGCTCCCACAAGCTCAATCCAAAGAAGCGGGAATTCCCTGCTGATGAGTCTGCATCCACATTTATGCACAATGATTCACGTGCTTCAGCCTCTGGGGCATCCTGAACTCATTTTTCTTCCCCCTTCCATTTCTAAGTGATGCCCAATCCAGTCACTGCTTCTGCTTCCTCTACCTATGACTTCTCTATTACCTATTAGCTTCTAGAGAAACAAAATAATGCTCTTCCGGAGACCTTCTCAGCTTCAACCCTCTTCTAGCTCAATGCTTTGAAACTCTAAGCTTATTGCTGTTAGTCACTGTATAAAATGCTCTTGCCAAATTCTTCCATGACATCTTTGTGGGTTTTATTACAGCCCTCCACAGTCTCCCTTGATGCCCCACCATCACAGCCAAGGCTCGCCTCTCCATGTGGCCACATGTGTAGGATCCTCCCTGTGCCTCCTCCATCTTCCCACCATTCTGCAGGAACTACCACTGTGTGCCTCACTCAATGGTGACAATGGTGTCAGCCCATTGTCCCTCTGCCCCAGCCACTGTTATCATGACTTCCATGCTGTTTCTTGCATCTTCTACAATTGCATCAAGCCATCTCTTCCTCCACATCTCTCTACTGAGGGAAGCACATTCTGATGCTCATTTGATATACTGGAATATGGACATGTTGAGGTGAACAGAAAGGTTTTTTGATCCATAGTACTAGCCAACTAACAACCTCAGTATTAAAACATAATTGCCTCTTCCTCTCACTCCATCTCCCCCCAAAACGATATGTATAAATGCAAAGAAAACCCCTCTGTACTTAATGCTCAGATTTTCATCACTTTACTCATAGATGGGTCATAAAAGTTTGT